GGAAAAAACGCCGACAGACGGCAGGCAGCAATGGCTACGTTGATTCCGTGTACACAAACATGATCTTACTTAATAGTCAAGAAATAGAAAACTAATGCAATTAATATTGAGATTTTCATCTCTTTAATCAATTGATCTTAATTTGTTTAAAGAGATAAATAAATAAAATATTAAATTGACACAATAAATACACATAAATTTACTAGGTACTAAATTTGGATTTTTGTGTGGGTAAGAGGTACAACTCTCAATGCACGTGTAATTAAATAGGCGTGACAAAAAAATATAAAGAAAACCCAAAAATAAATAAAAAAGTGCAATTGTCTAATGAATTTAAAAAATCCAAAAATTAATTGTGGATCCTAATGAATTTCCAAAGGATCCACCACGCGCCACGCGCCATTTCTTACGGGTCAAAACCCGACCCGTACCCAAGCCCAAATAAGATCCTTAATCACAATTATGAAAAATTGCGCATGCATGGTACTTGATATTGCAGCAAAGAATCATTCTTTCTAATGTAAAATGTCACATTCATTAATTCAATAAATAATATATAAAAAAGTAAATTAATATATAGGAATAAATCAATATAAAATAAGATATTTTATTTTAGTCATTTAATGTAATACCATATAGGTGGAGACAAAGAAAGCTGTAAAAAATTGGTAGAGTTAATTTTTTCCCCTCTAAAAATCTGCACTTTTTTTATTTATTATTTTATTTTTCTTAAAAGGCTAAATAATGATGAAACCCTAGTGGCCTTTTGTCCTTGTTTTCTTTATCTATATTGGTTTGAAATTTAATATACTCTTCGAAGGGGCCCCTTTTAGCAATAAAGTAGATATAGAATGGCTGGAAAAGAAACTTCAAACAACTTCTCAATTCAACCTATAATAATTCTTTGCTGCTTTTGTATGCCATTCACCAATAATTCTGGATCTTGGAGTTTTCTTTTTTGGGTAAATTACAATCACCTCCCTGAAGTAAAGTGTAATTATAAAAAACCCTTTATTTGTTTAGAAATTACATCCAGCCCCTGTAGTTTGTAAATTTCTTACATCCACCACCCTACAAAAGGTGTTATACTGTTATTACATAGGTGGATGTAATTATGGAAAAATTAGAGTTTTTTTTCCTCGTATATAGACTTTACTCAGGGGTGGTTGTAATTTACCATTTACACCCATCCCTCAGGTAAGGTATATTTACCAACAAAAAAAACCTTCATTTTTTCATAAGTACATCCACCATCTGCAATCTGTAGATTTCTTACATCAACACCCTTTTGTAGGGGCGTGGATGTAAGAAATTTACAAACAGCAGAGAGTTGGGTGTAATTTCTAAACAATAAGGGGTTCTTCGTAATTACGCTTTACCTCAGGGAGGTGGTTGTAATTTTTATTTATTTTGGTTGTAATTTTTATTTATTTTTTGGAGTATTTTCGTTTGCTTACTATTCACTCAAAAGATTGAAATCTCAATCATTTAAATTTTCTTGTTTTTTATGGAAAGTAGATTTTTCAATCTTATTTTTACATGAATTTGGTTTAAAAAAAAATAGTACAAGTTTATGCAATTTATATACAAAGAATAACATGTGCTCCCACATGTTAATAAAGTGTTTGTTCATAATGAGAAGAAAAAAATAGATTGGTGAAGACCATCATAATTACATACATATATATATGTATGTGTGTGTCTATGTATATGTATATATATATATATATTTATATATATATATATATATATATATATATATATATATATATATATATATATATATATAATCCAACGAATATCTTAAGTATACCTTAAACCCGGACCTCTGAATTGCAATTGCAACTGCATGAAACTTTGGGTAGTCGTTCAATTTAGAAATAACAAATGACCTCCCTAGCTGCAGAATGTAGTCGGAAAGAGATAAAAAAGACGACACTGAATATCGAATATAGAAAAGAAGGTGCTTTTTTCTAATGTTCGTACAAGTATTAAAAAAAAATTAAGGACTTAAAATCGATGCAGCTTCTAGAAGAATAACAGAGACTTACGGTTCGCCCGAGAAGAAATGCAGCACCAGCACCTAATGTGGCGCCGACAGAATCGGCAATAAAACCGATAGGCAATCCAAACAGGTAGCCCCCACCCAGCTGAAAGAGATATTAATAAGTAGCATAAAAACACTTCGGTTCAATCAAGAAAATAACTTACGAAATTTTTTTCTTCTAAAACTGGAAAAACAAAGAATATTTATCGTTGGAAAATCGAAACTTAGGATCATGCTTGAAGGGTACCCTTAGTTTTGATAGAAATCGGGGAAAAAAAAAAGTAAAGGACGTATGTTGTTTTCTTATCTACCCATTTATTTGTTTATACATTTAGGCCCCGTTTGGTTGCCAAGATTAACTAAATAGTTGGACTTAATTTGATGTTTGGTATCCCCAATAGATTGCCGGGTCGACCCGCCAAAATTATGTAATTATGGCTTATCTTGCCTTCTAGTGTTTTTTTTTTTGTTGGACGTCGCGAGCTCCAATAAAATAATTGGGTTTCATTAGACTATTTAATCTTATCTTGCCAACCAAACTGGGCCTTATACTACAAATGTATAAATGATTTGTCGGGACAACTTGAAATTAGAAAAGAAAGATTGTAGCAGAGAATTTAGTCCTTACCGTAAGTACTGAAGCTGGAACTGCCAATATCGTTAAAGGAATGTAAGCCACCGCTCTACAAAGTTCAAGAAACGAGTGTAATTAAAAAAAATAAAAGTGAATAAATATAGCAAGTATATAAGTTAAACTTGACAAGACCCGAAGAAATCGGGGATGAAGGAAATTCATTTTTTTTTTCTCAACTCCGACATGGTTAAATCTTCTCGTGGCATTAACACTGAAATTCTATTTTTAAATCATATCTACTACTAAAAATATGCTCGTCACCAAACCATTTAAAGCATACTCGTTGGAAGATAAAGATGATTTTCGAGCTTCTCCGATTCTACACATATTTATAGAGAAAGTCATTTAACTTTTGTTTCGTATTTCAAACAAAAGCTTGACATCTCAAAACGAGAAAGTCCACAAATGCCCGACTGAATATTTAGCCACACGACCAGAAATTTACGAGCAAGTTAAAAGGTGGTACTTACAGCACTACAGGACCCCAATAACCGAGATCTTGATCTATCCATACTAAGAAATCCTTTAGCATCTGCATACAAAAAGTAAGTCAGAAACAATGTCGATAAAACGATCGTACAGACAGTGATATTACATTTCCAACAAATGCAGCCTAAAAAAGATTCACCCATAGAATAAAGCTCCAATATTTAGGCAAGCAATTAAATCAAGAATGAGTACAAATGAACTTATCAAGACAATAAAATGTTGAAGTTAAGAATCAGACGGCGAACATTCTTTCGTTTTCGGAACTATCTCGATTTTCCGGAGTACAGCCTAGATATATTTAAAAAAAACCCAATTCGACAAAATCGAAACACTCCCAGATAACAGAACACTCGCATGAGTCATCAGAAACCCTCAAATCAAAACAGGCTACATATAACAGTAGAAAGCTTTTTTTTTTTTTTTTTTTTTTTTAAAAGCCGACCTGTTCAACGGGGAGAGTGAAGCAAGCAATAATTGTAGCAGCGATAAGCAACAAAAGCAAGAAAATCCTAATAAAAGAAAGCCAACTCATTCTCAAATCCATTTTTTTT